TCGCCGTCGTCGCCTCCGACGACGAACAGCACGCTTGGGTGACGCTAGCCGTCGAGCCCGGCCAGGGCCTGAATTCCCTGGTATTCAACGTGTCCGGCCAGTTCGCGTCGATTCCCCTCGCGTTCCGCGCGTCCACCCTCGAAACCCTGACGCCGTCGGCGGCGAAGACGACGGGCGGCACGGCGCTCGCGCTCAACGGCTCCGACTTTGGCATCGGGTCCAACGTGAACGTCGAATTCTGCTGCGGCTGGTCGTCCGCGGGGCCCGTGCGCTTCTGCTCCGACGTCGCCTTCTGCGGCGGCGACGCGGAGCTCCTCGAGGTGACCCGCTTCTCCCAGACGGCCGTCGGCCTGCTGTCCCCGACGGGCCAGGCGGAGGGGCCGCTGACCGTGACGCTGTCGGCCTGCGCGGACATCGGCGACCCGGCGACGTGCGTCGCGTCGCGGGAGCCCGCGAGCTTCAACTTCTCCAAGCCGACGATTCACTACCTCGCGACGTCGGACTACACGCGCAGCCCGCTCGCGGACGCGTGCTTCGACGACGAGGGGGAGCGCGTGTGCGTCGAGGCGGCCTGCGACCGGTTCTCCGAGGGCGGCTGCGGCCTCGAGACGGCGGGCGGCTACGAGATCGCCATCGTCGGCGCGAACTTTGGCATCGAGAAGCCGCGCGTCGTCTTCGGCGGCGTCGAGGTCGACGACGACGACGTGAGGCAGCCTTCCGGCGAGGCGTCGACGCACGAGCTGCTCTACTTCACCGTGCCGCGGGGCGTCGGCGCGGGGTTGGCCGTGTCCGTCGCCGTCGGCGACTTCGTGAGCCCGCCGCGCGCGTTCAGCTACGACCCGCCCTACGTTTCCAGGATCGCGTACCCGAACCCGAACGCGGCCGGCGACCGCATCCAGTTCTCGGGCAAGAACTTTGGGGAGACGGAGGCGCTGGCGGGCGACGTCAATATTACTATTGGAGGGCGGCAATGCCTGCCGATCTTGGTGGGGGAGTCGCGCGCGTCGTCCGTGTGGCGCATCCAGAACGACGAGCCGTACCTGCACTGCGAGTCCGCGCCTTCCACCGTGGGCCCCCAGAGCCTCTACATCCACGTCGCGGGCCAGAACGTGTCCTTCCCGGAGGCCGACGAGAAGATCACCATGGTCTGCGCAGCAGACTACTACGGCCAGACGGCGCTGGCCGCGTACGAGACGGACTTTGGGTGCGCGGATGTGTGCGACGCCGCGCAGGAGTTCTGCCTCGGCGTCGGCGGCGAGGCCTGGGTCTTCGACGCGTCCGACGACGGGACGCCCCACTTCTGCGACGGCGTCCAGCCCTGCCGGACCATCGAGTCGGCCTTCGACGGGTCCCTCGCGAACTGCTCCGTGATCACGTTGGAGGACGAGTTCTGCGCGGAGAAGCCCGTGGGCTCCGTCGTCGACCACAGCAACGCCGGCGAGCCCTACTCGCTCGCGGGCTACTTCCGCCTCGACAAAAGAGACGACGACGCCATCCCCTGCGACGCCTGGCACGCGCACCGCGACACGTACTGCTACGAGCTCCGGCCGTGCTCGCCGAGCGGCGCGTGCGCCGGCAACAACACGTGCGACGCGGGCTACACGGACACGATGTGCGCCAAGTGCTGCGACGTGTCCATGGCCTACCTCGACGACGGCAAGACCAAGAACCCGGAGTGCTGGGACGGCGGCGACCAGCTGCTCTACTACCGCGCGTACGGCGAGTGCGTCGAGTGCCCGACGAACTACGCGCTCCTCGTCGCCCTGCTGACGTCCGCCGTGCTCGTCTGCGGCTCCGTGGCCTACACGTTAAAAAAGAAGCGCGTCGACGTCGCCGTCGTCGCCATCGGCGTCGACTACGCGCAGGTGCTCAGCGTCTTCGCGACGACGGAGATTGAGTGGCCGTCGGAGCTCCAGCGGCTCTACAGCTCCCTCGCGATTTTTAGTTTCGACTTCTTGGACGTCTTCCCGCCGGAGTGTTCGATTTCCGTGGAGTACGACGTCCAGTGGCTCGCGATCCAGTTCGGGCCCCTGGGGCTCGCGGCCGCGTGCTACGCGTTCTACTTCTTCCGGCGCAGCTACCTCGTCTGGAAGTACGCGCACAAGAAGAAGGAGATGTTCAAGCGCATGCGGAGGCTCAAGGGCATGATCACGTCGACGCTGCTCTACGGGTTCTACTTTATCTATCTGTACATGTGCGAGAACACGCTCGACCCGCTCAACTGCCAGCGGATCGCGGCGGAGGACGGCGCGACGGAGACGAAGCGCGAGTACCTGTCCTCCGAGCCCAACGAGGTCTGCTGGCAGGAGGGCGAGATGCAGTACTCCTTGGTGCCCATCGCCGTCGTCTTCGTCTTCGTCTACATCCTCGGCTACCCTTTGATCATCGCCGCGCTCATGTACCCCGCGGAGACGCGGCGCCTCATCCGCGACGACCAGCTGCTGCGCTGCCAGGGCCGGGGCCGCTACGAGGAGGGGCTCACGGAGTATTTGGACGACGTGTCGCTCACGCGCGCGCGGCTCGGCATGCTCTACTACCGCTTCAAGCCCGACGTGCCCTACTGGATCTTGTTCGTCGTGCTCCGGAAGATGTGCATGGCCTGCATCACCTTGCTCTTCCACAGCAGCGCGTCCTTCCAGCTCGCCATGCTGCTCATGGTCCTGTTCACGTCCTGCGTCTTCCAGATGAAGTACCTGCCCTACCTCTCGTCGTCGAACCACGACGAGATCTTCACGAAGTACGCGGACCGCATCAAGATCCTCCACGACGAGGAGCTCTCCTCGGCCGCGGCCAAGGACAAGGCCATCCGCATGGCCCGGGGCAAGGCCGTCGGCAAGCTGACCTTCGCGTCCATGACGACGCGCGAGCTCCGCGACAGCGCCGCGAAGCTCTTCTTCGAGTACAACACGGTCGAGGGCGTGCTCCTCGTCTGCTCCGTGCTCGTCTGCCTCGTCGGGGTCATGCTCGACTCGGACTACGTCGCCGACGGCCGCCACGCGTACACGCGGAAGTGCCTCACGTACGTGACGATCTTCGTGATCTCCTTCTCGGGCCTGTATTTCGGCGCCGTGCTCTGGCAGGAGATCGTCACGCACATCTTCCCGTCCCTGAGTTGCTCCTGCTTCTCCGTCTTCGCCGACGGCGAGACGCGGGAGAAGGACGATGATGAAATTTTCGACGACGGCATCGAGATGGCCGCGGGCAACCCGCATCTGCAGAAGAAGATGGACGACCTCATGAAGGACGACCAGCAGCTCTTGTCCATCAAGGAGCAGGTCGAGATCAAGAAGCTCGTGGGCAAGCTCCAGACGGAGTGCCGCAACCTCAAGCGCGAGCTCGCGGACGCCAAGGCGAGCAGCCCCCGCGCGGCCGTCCCGGTCAAGAAGAAGAAGGTCGTCGGCGGCATCGCCCACGACCCCCGGGACCGGTCCACGTCCGCCGCCGTCGACATGGACGACGAGGCCGTCTCGCCCCGCCGCCCGAGCGGCTTCGCGGGCGCGTCGAACCCCCTCCGCGCGGGCGCCGCGAAGAAGGCGACCCAGCCCGCCAAGAAGCGCCTCGGCTAGGGTCGCCGCCGCAGAGCCGCCGCCGCGCCGCCGCGACCGCCGCCCCCTTTCCCCGCGCGCGCCGCGCCGGCCCGAACTAGACCGCCGCGCGTTAGAAGCCGCCGTACTGCGCGCCGCCCGTGCTCTGGGACGACGACAGGGACACCTTCGCCTTGTAGAAGCGGTAATCGGACTCCTCGGCCTTGGCGAGCGAGGTGGGCTTCGTGGAGACGACGCGGAACGACTCGGCGACCTTGCGCGACGTCGCCTCGCCGTTCTCCTTCTTCCAGCGCGCCGCCGTCGTGCCCGCGACGAGCATGGCCGTGTCGCCGCTCCCCGGCACGCGCACGGCCTTGACGAAGCACTTCCGGAGCACCTGCGCGTTCGAGGGCGACAGCGCCGTGAAGCTGAACTCGAGCAGGCGGTCGTCGCCCGCGGGCGCGTCGCCGACGAGCTTGATGTCCTGGGGCGCGCCGTAGGCGCCGTAGCGGCCCTCGATGTTGAAGATGTTGTCCGCGAACCACGCCTTCGGCAGCGCGCTCGGCGCGGCGCCGCGCGGCGGCGTCTTGACGACGACGAAGCACCCGTCGCCGCCCTCCTTGGACCTGGCCTCGACGTCGTAGTAGTTGCCCTTCTGCAGCGGCCAGGGGCTGTCGAAGGCGAGCTTCGCCGCGACCTTGTCGGCCGTGACGACCTCGGCCGCCGCCGCGAGCGACCCGCGGCTCGAGACCTGCGTCGGCTCGTCGACGAGCACGACGCCCGTGTCCGGCCGCGTCTTGCCGCTCATGGTCGTGGCGGAGATGGCGAGCGCGGGCGCCGCGGGCGTGGTGAGGAGCGCGGCAACCTGCGCGCCGAAGGCGCGGCGGTCGCAGGCGCGCGGTTCCAGGGCGGCGCGGCGGTCGCCGGCGAAGGCGCGGCGGTCGCAGGAGGCGCGCGGTTCCAGGGCAGCGCGGCGATCGCCGGCGTGCGGTTGCAACGCGTGCGCCACGCAAGCGACGACGAGGAGGCGCGCCGCCATCGATGCGGACCGACTGCGCCGAGCTGGTGGCATAATAGGATCGAGCTCTCGAGAGAGCGTGCTGCTGAGGATTGCTGAGGCTGGTGATGAAGCATGTTTGCCCCAACCGGAATCTTTAATTTCGGCCTAGCAATCTTCTTGTTTCTCCCTAGCGCGCTCGCGAGGCAGCCCCCAGAGCCACTGAAACTGCGCGCAGAACGTCGCTCGCTCCACCGAAACTGACACGATGCCGTGCCCCAGCAAGGATGAGTTAAAGTCCGCCGTCGAGAAGGTCGCCGCCGACCAGCCCGGGAACCGCTGCACGAAGCGCGCGGCCGGCGCCCGGCCCCCAGACGCCCGTAGATTTCCCCCAGCAACGGCAACGATGACATCATCCCCGCTGCGCCAGGTACTTCGACGCCGACTTCTACGACGGCCTGAGCGACAAGGACAAGGAGACGTTCTACGGGTGCATCCGCACGGGCGTCGACAACCCGGACAGCGGCATGGGCTGCTACGCGATGACTCCCACGGACTACTCGACGTTCGCGCCGTTCTTCAAGCAGGTCATCGGCGACTACCACAAGAACGACCCGGCGTACAGCGAGAAGCACGTCAACGACTGGGACGCGTCGGGCGTCGGCGAGGGCGGCGTCCTCGACCTCCAGAAGCTCGGCCTCGCCGAGGAGCTCTCCATGCGCGTCCGCGTGGGCCGGAACCTCAGCGGCATCCCGCTGCCCGGCGCCATGACCAAGGAGGACCGCATCGCCTTCGAGATCAAGATGGGCGGCGCCTTCGAGGCCGTCAAGGCCAAGTTCGGCGGCGCGGTCTACTCCATCAGCCCGGACCTCGGCGACGGCGTCGCGCACCCGAACAAGATTGACGACGCCAAGTACGAGGAGCTCGTCAAGGCCCACGTCATGTTCAAGGACATGGACGCGGACCCCTACCTCAAGTCCGCGGGCATCTCCTCCGACTGGCCCTACGGCCGCGGCTGCTGGCAGTCGGACGACAAGAAGAAGATCATCTGGTTCGGCGAGGAGGACCAGCTCCGCATCATGGTCATGAAGAAGGGCTTCCTCCTCAACGAGGTCTTCGACGAGCTCAAGGAGCTCCTGGACGCCGTCGAGTCCATCGACGGCATCTCCTTCGCCAAGGACGACACCTACGGCTACGTGACGTCGTGCCCGACGAACCTGGGCACGGGCATGCGCGCGTCCGTCCACGTGAAGATCCCCAACCTCACCAAGGACGGCACGGACACCAAGGCCAAGGAGATCGCGGGGCCCCTGGGCCTCAGCGTCCGCGGCACGGGCGGCGAGCACACGCCCATCGGCTCCGACGGCACCGTCGACATCTCGCCGCGCGCGCGCCTCTTCATCAAGGAGTGCGAGATCATCCAGGCCCTCTACGACGGCCTCGAGAAGCTCCTCGCCGCCGAGAAGGCCGCGGCCTAGGCGCGGCCCGCGCTCGCCGCCCCGCGCGCCGCCGGGACCCCCTCGCCAACTTCGCCGCCCCCCGCGCGCGCCGCCGCGGCCGCGTCTTTCTACAGCCGCGTGTGACTGTGCTTACGACCTCGGGGGCGCTGGGGCGGACGACTCGCCGGGGGGGGGCGAGGCGGCCGGCCGGCGCCGCGGGCCGCGCGGCGTCGCTTCCTGACGACGCGCGGGCGCCGAGGGCCGGGCGCCGGCCCGTCACCGCCGCCGGTGCGTCCGCACCATGGACGGCTGGCAGGGCCGCGACCCCCGCCGGTGCTTGTCGTCGATGTCGTTCCAGGTCAGGAAGTCGATCTCGGCCTGCGTCACGCCGTTGGCGAGGAGGTCCTCCGTGGACACGCCCGCATGGATGGCCTCCTCGACGCTCTGGTAGTTGTGGGACGCGCCGGCGCCCATGGTCTCCGGGGCCGCGGGGCGGTCCTCGGCGTCCTTTCGATCGGCGGCGAGGCAGTCGGAGACGCCGATGCTCTTTTTGCGTTGCGCAAGAACACACACGTTTTTGCACGCATCAAATCTAAAGGATATATAGGGAAAAATCCAGCTTGAGGACGAAGCAACATCAAAGTCAACATAGACATTTACTCAGCAGTCCGAGGCGTCGACGACGCGGGTATGGCGCCGTCGCGACCCTAGCCCTTCTTCGCCTTGACGACGCGCGGGAACCGGACGGCGTTTCTCAGCAGGAGGAGCAGCTCCGTGGGCTGGCGCTGCCGCGTGGACACGGAGGGCCCGTTCGACGCGTGGAGCTGCTTGCCGAGGTCCTTGGCCAGGTACATGATGCGGCTGCTCTCCGCGACGACGAGGTCCATGAGTTCGGCCTCGGACGCGCGCTCGAGGTCGCCCTCGCTGAGCAGCGCGACGGCCTCCTCGATGTGCTTCGACGCGCTCGGCGCGATGGACAGGAGCAGGCGCCGGAGGTGGCTCGTCGACGTGAAGCGCGCGTCCGGGTCGAGCATCCAGTCCTGGACCTTGGGCAGGTTCGCCACGGTCTTCTCGATGGTCTTGGCGGTCTTCGTCGCGACGAGCGTGACGACGACGGAGAAGATGGACGTCACGGAGATGCCGTAGTTGAGCGACGAGATGATGGACAGGAGCGCCGCGAACTTGTCGACGGAGCCGTAGGAGTTCAGGATGCCCGCGAAGCGCTTGAGCGTCTTCTCGTTCGTGTCGCGCCGCTTGTTCCACTCCATGTAGCACAGCATGTAGACGGCGATCCAGAAGTTCATGAAGCCCACGGACAGGCTGACGAAGTAGATCTTGCCCTCCGTGGACCACTGGCTGAGCTGCGTGAGCTCCGGCTCGTTGGGCGTGACGACCGTCGCGAAGTTGACGCCGTCCGTGCACGCGTCGAGCATCTTCGAGATGCTGTCGGTCATGAGCACGCTCAGCATGCCCAGCGCGGCGACGAGCACGGCGTTGAGCTGGCCGTAGCGCAGGCCCATGAGCGCCGTCTTCGCCTCGTTGATCGCGGGCGACGTCTCCGGCACGCCCTTCTTCGTCGACGTCTCGATGGCGTGCTGGATGAGGAGCTGGTCCGCGGCGGAGTAGTTGGCGACGATGGACGCGAGCCAGCGCTCCGCGAGCTCGGAAGACGAGATGGCCTCGGCCGTTTTGGTGGTTTCGACGATCTCGCGCGCGTCGGGCGCGAAGGCCCCCAGCGCGACGGCCTTGGACGACGCGGACTCGAGCCCCCGCGCCTCCGTCTCCGCGCGCTCGTAGCGCTCCACGTCCGTCGTCTCGCTGTGGGCCGCGAGCGCCCCCGGCAGCGAGAAGACCGTCGTGTCCCAGATGACGCGCTCCGCGAAGAACTGCTTCTCCGCGGAGTTGGACCGCGCGCAGGCCTGGAACGCGTCGTAGATCTCCTTGTTGCCCGTGTTGAGCAACGTCATGGCCAGCTTGTAGGTCTCCTCGCCGAGCTCCGCGTCGTGGACGCCGTCGCCCGCGGAGTCGAGCGTGTCGACGCACACCGCCGCGACGCCGTGCTTGTGGAGCCCCCGGAGCGTCGTCTCGCTCTCGTTGCCGATGAGGTCGAGCATGTCCGCGTTGTCCTTCTCCGCCTGGGCCGCGGCCATCTTCGCGCGCCGGATCTTCACGGCCCGGCCGACGACGCGCATGATCCGCGCGGATTTGAATAATTTCAGCATGCGCACGGTCCGCAGGTTGTTCGTCGCGCCGCCCGACGACTCGAACGCGTAGTAGGAGATGAGATCGAAGAGCACCAACAAAAGATCCATCACGCAGAAGAAGTCCGTGAAGAACTTCGACAGCGTCCGGTGGCAGTAGACGTGCGCCGTCATCTTGATCGTCACCTGGGCAGGACAAGAGAGATTCAACGTCGCTTCAACGTGAGTGTTCCGCGCGCGCGTTCCAAAAAAACCATCTACGCTTCGAGACCGTTCCGAGAGATGATCGCTCGTCCAAGAATTAGCCAAAACGAGTGGAAAACGGCCGAGATATGAGCCTTTGAAGTTGGGAATTTCGCTCTCTTTTGCTGCCCTGATCGTCACCTCGGCCGTGAAGATCCACATGATGAGAAATAACACGTAGGTGTCCACGAAGCCGTTGGACAGGCCGTACATCAAGCCCAGCACCTGCTCGTACAGGATCGTGCCGATGACCAGCAGCATGATGAAGGCCATGACGACGTTGCCCTCGAGCACGTCGTCGAGCACCGTCCGCGCGACCGCGCGCCGCACGTCCAGCAGGAACTGGACCTTGCGCTCCTGGGGCGAGAAGACGGAGTAGGGGTTGTCCGTCGCGATGAAGGTCGACGTCGAGTCCGTCTGGGCGACGAGCACCAGGTGCTCGCGGATGAGCTTGACGATCTCGATCTTCGCCTTCGTCGTGTGGGGCTCGTGGCAGTCCATGCGGTCCCGCATGTACTTGAGGAACCGCGCGTGGATCTTCGCGATGCCCGGGTGGGGCGGCGTCGCCTCGCCCGTGCCCTTCTTCGCGAGCGCGGGCTCGACGTCCGCGGCGGCGGACTTCGCCGCCTTCTTCGCCGGCGCGGGCGCGAGCTCGACCTCCTTCGCGGGCGCCTTGGCGGCCCTGGGCCGCTTACTCGGCGTCGCCTCCTTGAGGAAGGGCTCGTCCTCGATCTCGACGGCGACGTGGTCGCCGGCCTCGCTCTTCTTCTCCTCCTCGTCGTCCTCGGACTCGGCGTCGTCGCCGCCGTCGTCGTCCTTGTCGATCTTCAGCGGGTCGCCGCGCAACAACAACAGGAGCGCGATGCGCTCCTGCTCCATGCGCAGCTCGAAGAACTCGTCGAGCACGAGCGTGTTGAGCACGTGCTCGATCGCGGGCTTGGGCCTCGAGAAGTCGGACGCGCGCGCCTCGGCCTCCTCGTCGCCGCCGACGAACATGGACGACACGTCGAACATGGTCTTGGGCACCTTGGCGGCCTTGACGTTCTTCATGAGGGACGTGCTCGACGACTCCTGGGACTTGGCCAGGCGCTGCTGGTCCGTCATCACCGCCGCCTCGAGCTCGTCGGGCGCGAGCATGCGCGCCGCGCGGCCCGCCTGTGTGGTTCAAATCTTCAACCCGACTTCAATGTGAGCGTATGCGACAGTTTCGACGCAATCTCTTCGGCTGTGCTTCGAGAAATCGACGAGGGCAATCGATTCGTCCAAAAATCAGCCGAATCGACTTCGATTTGATCGAGCTAGAGAATTCTGAAGTTTGGTCAGGACCACCCAAACCAGTGGTTGAATTCCACACAGCGGCCCGCGAGGCCGATGGACGACCGCAGCAGGCGCGCCTCCTCGCGGGGCCGGTCGCTGCGCTTCGTCCAGTGCGCGAGGGCCTTGTAGGCCGTGATGGACACGAGGCCGATGCGCTTCTTCTGCTCCTCGAGCTCCTCCTTCAGGCGCCCGCGCCCCGCCTCGTCGCGCCGCGCCTTCTCCTGGGCCGTCACCGCCTCCGCGAAGGTCTTCAAGACCAGCAGCGACGCCTGCAATCTCTGGAGCCCCTCGGCCTCTGGCGGCTCGTCGTTGAGGAGCAGCGACCGCAGCGTCTCCGTGAACAATACCAGTTCGGGCTCGCCCGTCGCGAAGAAGACGTGGTACAACAGATTGCCCAGAATGGTCTGCACGCGAATAGATAGCTCCGTCTTGTGCGCGTCGAGCGTGATGAGCTCCTTCGCGAGGAAGGGGATGGGCAGCACGTTCCGGATCGACAGCGCCGCGCGGTCGCGCGCGACCGTCTCCAGCAGTTGGATCAACGCGACGCGCGTGTCCTGCGACGCGATGGACGCGCCGGCCTTGGCCGACGTCTGCGCGGCCTTGGCCGGCGACGTCGACGACGCCGTCGCGATGCGCCGGAAGCGCTCGATGGCGCCGAGGTCCTGGTTCTCGAAGAGCGCGTCCTCGATGCACGACTGCACCGCGGGGTGCGGCTGGCGCTCGTCGCCGCCCGCGATGGTTCTCAATAATTGGAGCGTGGCGCAGAGGAAGGAGTCGGCGTCGGCGCGCACGTGCTCGCCGCCCTCGCAGAGCTCGCGCGCGCCCTGGTGCGCGTAGGAGCAGATGAGGCGGATGAGCGCGCGGTCCGCCTGGGCAGGAAAAGGGTGATTCAACGTCGATTCAACATGAGTTTTCCGCGCGCGCGCGTTCCGGAAAAAGCATCCACGCTTCGAGACCGTTCCGAGAGATGATCGCTCGTCCAAAAATCAGCCAAAACGAGTGGAAACCGGCCGAGATATGAGCCTTTGAAGTTGGGAATTTCGCTCTCTTTTGCTGCCCTGCGGTCCGCGGATTTGCAGAGGTCGGTTTCATCTTCAAAAATGCTCTGGCAGAGCGTCACCAGATTCTTCGGCGACGTGACCTCGATGCAGTCGATGATGTCCTCGATGCGCTCGAGCACCGACGTCTTCGCCAGCGTGTGGCCGTCGATGAGCGACAATAGACAGTAGACGACGGCGTCGACGAGCCGCTTCACGCGGACCCTCACGTCGACGAGCACGGCCATGGCGTTGCTCGCCCCCGGCTGGTTCGAGTCCGTCGTCTTGATGAGGGACCGCCCCATCTTCAACGCGAGAATCAGGATGTCGATGAGCCCCAGGGAGAAGCAGATGGACTGGTGGTGCGCGTTCGGGCCGAGCGGCGCCTCGTGGCTCGGCCGGTTCGTGCGGTCCAGGAACCAGTCCGGGAGCCAGGACGGCGGCGGCGACGTCGCGACGACCATGTCGATGGTCGACGCCCCGGAGCCGCCGTCGTAGTCCGCGCCGCCCTCCAGGACGATGTTGCACTCCGTCGGCATGGCCTCCTTCCGGTCCTCGTCCTCGTCGAAGTAGACGAAGATCTCGACCCAGAACAGCGCGTTCGTCACCGTCGTCAGCACGTTCGCCGCCTTCTTGTCGCGGGCGACCGGCGGGGGGACGCCCCCGACGGGCGACGGCGCGCGGCGCCCCGACGACGAGCCGTCGACGGACGCGGGGCTCGCCGGCGCCGCGGACGTGTGCTCCTTGATCCACGTCGACGCCGTGTCGATGGCCGACCGCAGGTTGATGACCAACCCCTTCAGCGTGTCGAGCTTCCCGAAGACGGGCAGCCCCTTGGACGTCTTCAGGAACGTGCCGCGCTCGATCGCGTCGACGAGCTTCCCGTGCACCGAGTGCGTGTCCACGAGCGCCGACAGCGCCGCCTCGAACAACGTGTCGTCGTCGGAGATGAGCAGGCCGGAGAGCACGCCCCTCAGATGGTCCGGCGGGCCGAAGGCCGCGGCCTCGTAGGCCCGCACGTCCGGCCCGTTGAACGTGTTGTCGACCGCGCACCGGAGCTCCTCCGAGTGCGCGCCGATGACCTTGCCGTAGCACGTCCGCAGGATGTCTCCGAGATTCGGCCGGTCGGGGTCGACGTTGGGGAACTTGTGCACGTCGAAGGTGCGGTCGCCCATCTCCTCGAACAGGTAGCTCAGGATGCGCTCGATGCGCCAGTGCATCGTCGCGTCGTTGATCTGCGCGAGGCCCCGCAGCGCGCGCGCCTTGGCCCGCGCGACGGGCTTCAGGTGGCTCTTGTCCACGGCCGGCGCGTCGATGGCCGGGTTCGCCAGGTCCACCAAGCGCCGCGCGAGGTCGATCGTGTCGTCGACCGTGCCCACCGTGAATAGGCCGAAGTCGAAGAGCGTCGACGCGATGTCGACGACCTTGGCCGTCAAATCGTTGGACGCGACGTTCTCCGGGTTGAGCGTCGCCGACGTCGCGAGATGCCGGCTGAGCTCGCGCCGGAGCGCCGCGAAGCCGTCGCGCACGGGCTCCGCGATGGGCGTCGCGGACCGGGGCAGCGCGTCCGCGGAAGCGCCCGGGCTCAGCCTCCGCGACTCGACGTCCTCGAGCACCCAGAGCAGCGCCGGCGCCGCGACGCGCGCGTGGGGCCAGCGGTCCAGGTAGAGGTTGTTGAGCAGGTTCAGCGTCTCCGAACGCAGGCACGGCGCCACCTGGGCAGCAAAAGCGTGCGAAATTCCCAACTTCAAAGGCTCCTATCTCGGCCGATTTCCACTCGTTTCGGCTGATTTTTGGACGAGCGATCATCTTTCGGAGCGCTCTCGAAGCGTGGGTGCTGTTTCCGAAACGCGCGCGCGCGGAACACTCACGTTGAAGCGACGTTGAATCACCCTTGTGCTGCCCTGGGCGCCACGCGCGCGTCGCGGAAGACGGCGACGAGCGTCTCGTAGGAGAAGCCGCCGCGCGCCTGGAGCTTCAGGATGTTCTGCGCCGACCGGCCGGCGCAGAGGTCGCCCAGTAATTTGAGCTGCGCCTCGAAGTAGCGCCCGATCTGGAGCTGGTTCAGCAGCCTTTCCTCGCGCGTCGCGATCTTCCGCTCGCCGGCCCGGTCCGTCGCCTCCGCGGCGAGCGCCTCCAGTTCCGCGTCGCCCTTGAGCCGGATGGGCCCGGACACGTTCTTCTCGCTCATCTCCAGGTCCGACTCCTTGACCCAGGCGATGCCGTCGGCGCGCCGCACCTTCTTCACGGGCTGGAGCTGCTCCCCGAGCGCGTAGACCTCGATGGCCGGCCGCGCCTCCGCGTGCCGCGGCGCGCCCGGCCAGAGCACCTCCTTGAGCCCGTCGCGAAAAAACAGCTTCGGCGAGTAGGCATCATAAAAAAGCTCGTCGACGGCCTCGACGCGGTACTCCTTCGAGTCCGCGTTCCACGACAGGTGCACCTCCTTGGGCAGCGACGGCGCGCGGTTGTCCCGCAGGTCCGACGGCGAGATGGCCAGGAGCAGGTGGTCCGCGAGGTCCGCGGCCTGGCCGGCGATCTCCGTGTTGAAGAGCAGCGTGCCGCAGATCTCCTGCATGCGCAGCATGGACCGCGACCGCCCGTCCTTGCCGTCGACGGTGCATAAAGCCGCGAGCACCTCGAGGAACTCCGCGCGCGGGCCGTGGACCTGGAGGATGAACTCGCAGAACTTGCGGACGAGCGCCGCGTTGGCGACGACGGCGTTCGTCAGCGTCTCCTCCGAGATGAAGAGCGTCGCGAGCACGCGCTCCGCGCCGAGGCGGTGGCCCGCCTGCAACGACACCACGTTGACGAAGGACACGGGCCGGTGGAAGACCTTGGACGTGCCCTTGCGCCAGGCCGCGTGGCGCTTCGCCTTGGACCAGTGGCGCTTGTCCGCGACCTCGCGCAGGATCGCCGCCTTTAAAACCAACCAAGGGCTCCGATGCGCGGGCTCGAACGCGTCGCCCTGGACCTGCAGCGCCCGCAGCGCCTCGCCCTGGCGGATGAGCACGCTCCCGACGCCGAAGTGGGCCTCGCACTCGCGGTTGTCCAGGATGGCGCGGCCGAGGACGGCGAGGACGGCCTTCTGGACCGGGGCGAGATACGCGTCGAAGCGGTCGTCCGCGTAGCGGCGCCCGTGGAACCGAATGTCTAAACCCAGGTTGATGGGCGTCACGGCCATGTTCACGAGGTCGTCTAAAAAGCCCGACGTGCGGCACATGTTCTGCATGGACGCCCGGGGCGGGTCGTCGACGAGGCCGCTGAGGTTCGTCATGATCATCCGCGACGGCTCGTCGCGGCCGCCGAGCTCGACGTACGTGCGCTGGAGGGACCGCGTCACGGACGCGAGCGCCGCGAGGACCTTGCGCGCGTCGGAGCCGCGCATGGGCCCGCCGAAGGCGTCGTCGTCGCGGCTCTCGTCGCCCTTGCGGGGGCTGGTGAGGCCCGCGTTGGGCGGCAGCATGCTCAGCGTCTTGCAGACGGCCGTGTAGACGTGCGACACGCGGCGCAGCGACGCGCAGTGCGTTAGCTCCTCGTGCTCCTTCGGGGTCAGGTACCGCAGGTCGAAGTAGTAGGACTCGTGGTTCGTGAGCGCCGTCTCCGCGCCGCCGTCCGCGTCGGAGATCGACGGGAGCTCGCTGAACGACACGGACGTCGCGTCCGCGTCCGCGTGCAGGCGCAGGGGCCGCGCGGCGGACGCGACGAGGCAGGCCATGCCGTCGAGCACGGGCGTGCCCAGGGGCGGCCGCGGCTCGGGCCCGCCGGGCAGCAGCTTGAAGGCCAGGAGCGCGCGCGTCGCGTCGTCGACGGAGTCCGGGCCGTCGTCGTCGTCGAAGAGCAGCGCGTCGCGCCGGTCCACGCCCCCGGGCCCCTTGACCGGCGCGACCGTCGGCGCCATGGCGAGGTAGGCGCCCGTGACCGCGTGGCGCACGTGGAAGACGTCGCCGAAGCAGATGCCCCGCGTGAGCAGGTCGTTGCCCGGGCCGCGCCGCATCACCGGCTCGGCCACGAAGGCCATCATGGCGCTCTCGAGGTGCGCGGACCCCGCCCCGCGCACGATGTCCTCGCGCTGCGCCTCCTGGAAGCCCACCTTGGCCTCCCGCGCGCCCTCGCCGTCCTCGGAGCCGAGGTCGTCGTCGGCGTCGTCGACCTCGTCGTGCACCGCGCAGTGGTCCCCCAAAGTCCCGCCGTCGCGGACGACGACGGCGCGCCGCAGGCGCTGGCTCAACAGAAAAAAGGGCGTGTTGTGCACGAGGTTCCGCAGCGCCGCGGACGGGTAGCGCGCGTAGGGCCGGATCGCGAGCGGGCTCGGCTGCGCGTAGACGGCGAGCTCGCGGAGGGGGCACCGCGCCGTGGCCACGTGGTCGCAGGGCGACAGCGCGATGGCGCGCGCCGCGTCCGTCGTCTCTACGGGGTCGAAGATGCCCGCGAGGCGCCGGCCGCCCTGCTTCGCGCCCTTGCCCTTGCCCGGTGCGCCGTCGCCCTGGGGCCGCACGAGCAGGAACGCGCTGTCGTTGTAGGACACGGGCGCCCGCCGCGCGACCTCGCCGGCGTCGCCCATGGGGCTGAAGAGCAGCACGGACCCGGCGCAGCCCGGGTGCAGCAGCAGCTTCCGCGGCCGCCCGTCCTCGCCGCCGAGGCCCGGCGCGCGCCGCGTGTCGAGGTCCGCGCCCAGCGACGACGCGCAGGTGAAGAACATGCCCGTCACGACGTGCTGGAGCTGGAAGGGCTCGTTGAACATGAGGTCCCGCGCGCGCGCCGTGCCCGCGTCCTCGAGCGTCGCCTGGGCGGCACAAGAGAGATTCGACGTCGCTTCAACGTGAGTGTTCCGCGCGTGCGCGTTCCGAAACAACCATCGACGCTTCGAGACTCTTCCAAGAGATGATCGCTCGTCCAAAAATCAGCCAAAACGAGTGGAAAACGGCCGAGAGAGGAGCCGTTGAAGTTGGGAATGTCGCTCTCTTTTGCCGCCCCGAGCGTCGCCGCGAGCTTCTCCGCGTTGCCCTTCGTCTCGCGCTGGACCTTCAAAGCGGCGAGGTTCTCCGCCGCGGCGGGCGCCGTCTTCGCCGGCGGCCGCTCGAGGCGCACGCCCAGGCTGTCCAGCAGCGCCGACACGGACACGCGGTCGTGGCGGCGGTCGAGCGTCAAATTCGTCTTCGCGCGGCACCAGCTCTCGAGCTTCTCGTACTTGAGCGCCGGCACGACGCGCCAGAGGCAGCTCCGGAAATCGGCGTCGCTCAGCGCCGCGTCGACCTGGCCCGACGTCGCGTCGCCGCGGACGAAGAAGGAGTCCTCGACGAGCGCGGGGTCGAGGTGGCCCTCGAGGGAGATGAGGTCCCCGAAGCGCACGGACTCGATCCAGGAGCTCTGCGTCTTCTCCGCGGCCTCGGACTCGCTCCGCGCGCGCGTCGCCGCGGCCTCGTCGTCGTCGCTCGGCTCGGGCTCGGGCTCGGGCGGCGGCGGCGGCGCGGGCGGCGGCGTCGGCGGCGGCGAGGGCCCGCTCACGAACGCGTCGAGCGCCGCGAGCGCGCCGAAGCCCGTCGGCGGCGCCGGCACCTGCTCGAAGGTCGCCTGCGTCTCCTCGAGCTCCGCGGCCAGCGACCCGGGCGCCGCGACGGCCCGCGACGCCGCGGCGCCCCGGCAGACGTCGCCCGCGCGCGGCGAGCGGCGCCGGTGGGGGTCCTCGGGCTCCTCGGGCTCCTCGGGCGCCGCGGGCGCGGGGGGCTCCAAGGGCTCCGCGTCGTCATCGTCGTCGTCGTCGCCGCCGCCGTCGTCGGGCGCGCCGGGCGCCGCCGCGGAGGCGATCATCGCCGCGATCTTCGCGTCTCCGACGGGCGGGCCCGCGGCGCCTGTGTGGAAATCAAATCTTCAACTCGACTTCAATGTGCGCGTAATCGAACGGATTGCGCCGGACTCTTCAGCTGTGCTTCGAGAACCCGACGAGATCAATCGATTCGTCCAAAAATCAGCCGAATCGACTTCGACTTGATCGAGATAGAGAATTTCAAAGTTTGGTCGAGACGTCCCAAACCAGCGGTTGATTTCCACACAGCGCGGCGCCCTC